ATTAATTGCTACAACGCTAAGGGACATGAGCACCAGATGGTTAAGTGGGGTCTGGGTCTGGATGATGACAGCAGTAGCCAAAGTGGTGAGGCCTCCAAGAGTCCTCAAGAGAGCCGGCGTCTAAGCATCCAGCGTTGCATCCAGTCTCTGGTGCATGCCTGCCAGTGCCGCAACGCCAACTGCTCTTTGCCATCTTGCCAGAAGATGAAGCGTGTGGTGCAGCACACCAAGGGCTGCAAGCGCAAGACAAACGGTGGCTGTCCGGTTTGCAAGCAGCTCATTGCTCTCTGCTGCTATCATGCCAAGCACTGCCAGGAGAACAAGTGTCCTGTGCCCTTCTGCCTCAATATCAAGCACAAACTGCGGCAGCAGCAGCTACAACACCGGCTGCAGCAGGCGCAGATGATGCGGAGACGCATGGCCACTATGCAGGGTCGAGCCATGCCTCAAAGCCTACCGTCACCACCTGCATCCACAGCCCCCAGCACACCCACCTCGCATCAGCAACCCAACACGCCTCAAACGCCGCAACCGCTGCCCAATCAGCCGACTACGCCAAACGCTGTCGTAATGTCACCAACCTATCCCAATACCCCACGCAATGGACAACCCCTTCCTCAAGCCTCACAGGGCAAACCCGGCCCACAGGCGTCCCCACTACATCAGCAGCAGTCTCCACTCCCACAGCCACCCCAGCAGCAGCCTCCGCCGCAACAACCTCCGCAGCAGCAGCAGCCTCCACCTATGGCAGTCAAGATGGCACGGCACATAGAGATGGTGGCGCAGGCTCAACAGAACTATCGCATGACCATGAATGGCCTTCCCATGAACCACCAGCAGCCGCGCATGCCAGGTGCAATGCAACCACCCATGCAGCTTGTTGGGCCACGCGGACAGCAGGTCATGCAGCCCATGCCGCAAGGACAGTGGCCTGGAGGCGCTCAGCCTAGTATGCCAGCAGCTCAGCAGCAGGTCGCTCAACAGACCCCACAGGGCCCTCAGCCGACCTTGCCTATACAGAGACCCGCAATGCCCCAGCAAGTTGCCCAGCCACGCATGATGGTGCCCACGCAGGGCCCTCGACCGCAAGCACCCCAGAGAGCCGCAGGCATCGCTCCCAATGCCTTACAGGATCTGCTACGCACCCTCAAGTCACCCAGCTCACCCCAACAACAGCAGCAAGTGTTGAACATCCTCAAATCGAACCCGCAACTCATGGCAGCCTTCATCAAACAGAGAACTGCAAAGTACCACGCCAGCCAGCCCCAGCAGCCACAGCAGGGCATACACGCAGCGCAGCCAGCCATGCAGAACATGGCAGCTATGCAGGCTGTGCCACGACCTGGCATGGCCCCTCAGCAGCAACAACAGCAGCCCACACCACAAGGCATGGCAGCTCTTGGTCCACAGGGTCAACTCATGAACCCTGCGCACGCCAACAACCCTCAGTTACAGGAAATGTACCGACGGCAGCTTCTGCGACATCAGCAGCAGCAGCAGCAACAACAGCAGCAGGGAGGGATGCCTCAAGCTCATGGCCAGTTCCCACAGGCACAAGGAACTGCTACCAACTACACGCAACTCCGGATGCAGCAGCAGCAGTTGGCCATGCAGGGAACAGGTGGACCCATGGGCCAGCTTCCCCCAATGGCCCAGATGGCTATGGATGGCACACCCAACCTTTTGCACCAGCGCAACAATCTCCTACTACAGCAACAGCAGCTTCCGCAACAACAGGTTGTCCTCAAGCCTCCCATGGGCTCACAGGCACAACCAAGCCCCATGAGCCCACAAACTCACCTTCTCTCGGGCCAGCCGCAGGGCGCACACCTACCCGGCCAACCCATGGCTAATGCACTCAGTAATCAGGTGTGTTCGCCAGGCCCCGTACAATCACCCAGACCTCCGTCACAGCAGCCTCCTCCACATTCCAGCCCTTCCCCACACGTTCAGCCTCAGCCGTCACCCCAACATGTGCCATCCCATACGGGGTCACCACACCCTGGTCTGACGACACCCATGCCTGGCTCCATGGATCAAGGACATCTGGGTACGCCCGAGCAGAGTGCCATGCTCCCGCAGCTCAATACGCCCAATCGGGGAGGGCTGCCCAGTGACTTAAACATGGTGGGAGACACAACAGGAGACACCCTAGAGAAATTTGTGGAGGGATTGTAGCGTTTACTGGGAGACTCTACCCACCACAGTCTCCCCGTTCCTCTTTTTGTGGCTCTGTTGTTTTGTTTTTTTCTCTAAATTCTCAATTTTTTTTGTACTGACATGTAAAAAAAATTTGAAGAAATGTATGAAAAAAAGAAAGAAATTTATGTCGACAAGGTTAGGGAATGTTGATGTTTCCTAAAATAATGAAAAGAGACTGATTTCTTCCTTTAAAGAGGGAAAATTGTTGTTTAAAAGAAATCTAAATCACAAAGAATATATTTTTTGTTCAGTTCGGACCCTTGTGTGGTTCATGTGTTGTGTTTGTTTTGTTTGGGGATGGCAGCGGCGATCTGGTTTCATGCCTTTTACTTTTTTTGTAAGAAAATGGAAACGTCATTATATCATTCATACTTTTGTTTTATACCTTATCTAACTTTACAGCATTTTGTGTTGGAAGACTGTAAAATAATATGCCGGGGAGTTTGAGCCAGGGTTTCTCTGCTCTGTCTGTCATCCTTCCTGGCGATTGTATTCTAGTGTTGCACTCGTTTTTTTTTCATACATGCATTTGGAGTTATCTCCTTTCCTCATTGTGAAGTTCATATGAGGAGAACTATTTGTTTGTATCGATAGGAACTGTGCATACGCATGTATGCAAACACACACACACATGCATCACTCAGACAGTACTACACCGACCCCCAAGAGGATATGTACACATTTACAACATCTCACTGGTCTGGATCCAGAGGTTCTGTCTTGCAGATGTAGAAAATTGTTGCTTTTTTGTCCTAATTTTGTCATACAGATATATAAATATAAAGAGAGCTTGAGCGAGCGAGCGAGAGAGCCTGTGGGAGAAAGCGGGGCCCCTAAGCTGAGCGGGAGGGAATGGGCGATCACTGGTTGACTGCTTGTTGGAATACAGAATGGATTCTGTTATTGACCCTCATTCCTCTCACACTAACTTGAAGAGGGGCTCAGCTTTCCCCTGTAATGTAAATCGTGCAAGTTATTAAGTAAAGTACTATAAATATAAGGAAGAGAGAATGGAATCACTGTATAAACTGGTTTAAAAAAACTTATTTCTTACTTATATACCATATTGTTAAATAAACTGTGTGGAACAGATCAAAAACATGTGTCTAATGTTATTGTGTGTTATTAAATTGTTTTATTTTAAAGAAGTTCTCTTATCAGACTCTTGTTGGGGTTATTTAACTGACAATAATGTGCATTAAGCTTTCGTTGAACTGTATTCATATCAAGTTATTATGAAGGCATCATGGTGGTGCAGTGGGTGGCATGATCGCTTCACAGCAAGGAGGTCACTAGTTCGAGTTTCAGCTGAGTTGGTTGGCATTTCTGTGTGGAGTTTGCATGTACTCCCCGTGTTCGCATGGGTTTCCTCCGGGTGCTCTAGTTTCCCCTACAGTCCAAAGACGTGGTATAGGTGAATTGGGTAAGCTAAATTGTCCATAGTGTATGTGTATGGATGATTCCCAGTGATGGGTTGGCTGAAAGTGCATCAACTGCTTGAAACCTGTGCCGTATAAGTTGGCGGTTTATCCCGCTGTGATGACCCCAGGTTAATAAAGGGACTAAGCTGAAAAGAAAATGAATGAATTTAACATGAACTAGCAATGAACATGTCATTAAAGCGTTTCATATCAATTTCTACATTTACTCGTATCTGGTAGAGACCCGTAGCCAGCCTGGTAAAAAGGATGCTTCTTTATTCTCAATACTTGAACATATTTTTGCAGTTATTCTCCTCGTTTTCTATTTAATTATGAGGTTTAAATACTCTATTAAGTGACATTTTAAGCACTATTTTTGCTGGATTAGCTCGTCGGATTGTTAAAAACTATTTTTGATATAAGAATATATTTCCTAAATGTTGAAGAATAAAGAATTATGGAAAATTATTACATCATATATCATAAAAAATATAGCCTGTTGTTATTTATTAGACAAATAACAAAGCTGGACTCAACTTTTCTCTGTCAAGAGTTTAGCCATTTCATGAAGCATACATATACAAATTAGTATATATATATATATATATATATATATATATATATATATAGTATAAAAGACATTTTTACCAAAGTGAATGCATTCATTAGAATGTCATATCAAGTGATATTTGTTTAGTTTTCATAGTAAAATAAGAAATACAAATATTTACAGTACCAGTAAAGGGTAGGTTACATAAAAAATAAAAATATTTACTCACACAATTAATTTACGGAGAAATAACAATATATTTATACATTAAATAATAAATCAAATGTATAATACAAATAATATAAAATACATAATAGGCTGAAATATATTTTATATTATTGTATGTAACTTAATGTGTTTAATAATATCTCATATTAAATGCACTGGAAAAATTATGAATGGTGATTCCTTGAATTTACTAAAATATTTTAAGTTAAGTGGTTGTAAACTATTTGTTTGGGCTGGATTTAAACTTACAAATGAAGTTAAACATTACCAAATTAAATTTGTTTGCTTGAATTCAACACAAATTGTTTGCAACAGTTTTGCAGACAACATATTTTTCACTGTAGAACATATTTATAAATATTAAGATAGATAGACAGACAGACATTTTATGTGTTGATGTGGATAATATGTGTTTTAATAAGGCGACTGTGAAGGAGTTTTTTAAACAGCAGTGAGACGCTCAAGGCCGCTGTGTGGCTCCATGACGTGATCAAATAGAACATTCGAATGGAACGCGCGGAGTCTATTAGTGCGCGTGGAATTCTAAATTCTTTGTTGGTTGTTGTTGGTGGTGTTAGCGTTTGCGTATTTTCACAGTGATGGGACATCGATATTCAAAAGTTACTCCGATAACGGACGATGGGGTGTACGATAAACATCTAAGTATACCCCATCAACCCGGCACAAACAGGGCGGTTCAACATCTTCATCCTTGCGATGAAACCCCTGTTCGTGCTGAGAGAGGAGGTGGAGACAGGAGAGGAGTTTGTGGAGGAGAGGAATTGGAGGAGAAAGGAGGAGGAGAGGGAGGTGAGGAAAGAGGAGACAGGGAGTTGGAGGAGGCATCTAGAGTGCAGGAGAAAAGAAAGAGGGGGAAATGGTGGAGGAGGCTGATATCCATCTTAACCCCTGCCAAAAAGCCCCTTCCTGAGAGCCCTTCATGCCAGCAGTGCAATGAGGGAGAGCAAATGAAGGTGGCATGGGCAAGAAAAAGTAGTGATGGTAAGTGACACAAACATGTTATAAATAGGTCTGCTGTATTTTACAACAGCTGAACTTAAATCACTTAGGTTTTCCCTATACCAAAATTATACATCCGTACAAAATTCAATTCCAGTTAATACAAAAATTTGCATCACGGCCATAATTACATCTTTATTTTATGCTGTTAAATTTACTGTTTTGAGCAGTAAAGGTACCATTACTTGCCTAAAAATGTAGTGCAAGCAGAGTAAAAGTATCTGTTGTAAATATTACTCAAAGTATGAGTAAAAAGTAGCCATTTTAAAAATACTTAAGAGTAGTGAGTAGTACTCTGTGAAAAGCTGATGTGTTTACATGTAATTTGTGCATGTGTGTGGAAACATAATATTCTGTAGTGCATTTAGTTCTTGCCCAGCAGGCACACAACATCATAAGACATTAATATTAGGTTAGAACCACTTCAAATGTTGACTACTATAGTCTCCTTGTATTCCAGGATTCAAAACGATTATCTCGTATTAATTGTTCAACATTTGTTATGTTATTTTCTCTCTCGATAGACTACATCTTCAGCCATTACACCATTGGTGATAAGCTGGGGAAAGGTGGATTTGGTGTAGTATATGAAGGGAAGCGTTTGGAGGATGGTCTTAAGGTAAGTACATATAAATAACACATTATCAAGCATTTAAATGTTTGCTCTGTCATATCTTTATCCTCTACTCTAAGCCAGCTTAGCATACCCTAAGTTCATTTTCTTGTGTTGTTCATCAGGTGGCTGTGAAATACGTTACCAAGGGCCAGGATACGGAATGTATATCTATTGTAAGTACAATGCACTGTACAAAACACATCAAATATGTCACATTAGCATCATTCACAGGGAACCCACATCTCTCTAACAATTATAACCCATTTCCATCCTCCAGCCTGATCATCCAAACCCCCTGCCAAAGGAGATCGCTCTCACCATCCTGGCTAATAAAGGGCCCAGCGATCCCCACATCATAAAGCTTTTAGACTGGCAGGACCATGAAGACCATTATGTCTTGATTCTTGAATGTCCATCTCCTTGCGAAAACCTTGAAGAGTTCCTGTACCATCGCGGTGGAACCCTGGATGAAAACACAACACGTCACATCATGGAGCAAGCAATACATGCTGCTGACCTGTGTTGCCAGAGGGGAGTCTTCCACCGTGACGTCAAACTGGAGAACCTTCTAATAAACAAGGAAACATCTGAGGTCAAACTTATTGACTTTGGATGCGCGGACATTCTGAAAAAGTCTTCTTACAAGACATATGACGGTATGTTTTATATCATTAATTTCTTCTATGCTAATAGAACAAAAAGTATATGCTGTGCTAATGCATACTTACACATCAAACAAAATGTCTTTCCTTCAGGCACTGATGCGTACGCCCCTCCTGAGTATAAACTCAAGGGGAAGTACTATGGCAAGCCAGCGACCGTCTTTTCTTTAGGGATGGTGATGTTCGCCCTCCTCTGTGGCCACTTCCCTACACACTATGACATCTTTCAACTGAAATACAAGCGGTATACTTATATTCAACCCAGCCGGTCAAAAGGTAAGACACGTCACATAAGAATCATTTCAGAATCATACATAAACTAAATACAGTATTATTGAAATGTCTCTCCCATCTTCCTGTTCAGATTGCTGCGGTCTGCTACGGGAGCTCCTCAACCCCCATTATAGCGAGCGAATCAGCCTGAGTCAAATCCTTTCCCATAACTGGTTTAAGGTAGTGAATCTGAGATGAACTAAGCAGCATTTATTTTCTCAAACTGCTAAAACAAATCTGTTCTTTTTTTGTTTGTTTCAGGTCTACATTTAAGGCCTGGCCAGTTAGTGTCTCATTCAGCTTAGCGTCTTGCGGGCTACAAGCAAGACACTTCCATACACGTCTCTCACCTTGGCGTCTTGCGGGGTGAAAGAGCCTAGAGCAGCATCTCCCAAATTGCTGTCTCTTATGCAGCCTAGCGTCTTGCGGTTGCATCTTTGTAGCCAATCCTCTCCTGATGAACCAGTCACAGCTGTCCAAATGCCACAGCTGTCTGTCTCCACATCCACCAGGTCAGATGTCCCATACTCTGCCACCATACAAGCCATGAGTGTAGTTCCAGTTGCTTCCTCAGTGGCCCTCATCGTCAGTGATTCCTGCCACAGCTGGAAAAGACTCTGTGGTCTGTCATGGCCTCCCCAGAGGTTTCTGCCATTGACAGTTTCCATTTGGTTTGATTCTGGATGTCCATCTAGCATATCAAACCAGAAATAAAACATTTTTATTGATTTGTTCATGTGTATACTTCATTGTTTTTCTCTGAAACAAAACCAACACACACATGGGACACACCATCATTTATGCAGCTTATTAAGCAATTTATTCAATTCATCTTTATTTTTTTAGCACTTGCACAATGTAGATTGTGTCAAAGCAGCTTAACATAGAAGTTCTAGTAAATTGAAACTGTGTCCGTTCAGTTTTCAGAGTTGAAGTTCATTTTAGTTCAGCGATTGACGAAAGTGAAGGAAAAAAACCTCGAGAGAAACCTGGCTCAGTTATCTCAACAATTTATCTCAATGCCACAATATTGCAATGTCAAATTGTACCCGCCCCCATTATGTCACCTCCGAACCTAGTTGAAACTCCAGGCAGTCAGACAGCATAATACAGAGAGTGAATCACTACTGACGTAACGGGGACGGGTACTTTCACTTTTTACTGCTACAGCCCCTCACATGGGCGTGGTAGTGGGGGGAAAAGTGGACCTGACTACCCAGGGCCCCGTCTAGGGAGAGGGCCCTTTGAAATCCCACCAATTATTTATTTATTTATTTTTTTTGTAGCCTACTTCGAATTAGTTGGCCCCTCCAATTGATGTCAATGTCATTATTTATTTCAAAATATATTGATAACATATTGATAACATACCGTAATATTTTAGCGCTCCTAAAGCGCCCCCTTGTGACAGAGAATGAATTTTTATTTCCAATAATTTTATGGTCATGTTTATGGTCAAATTATTGCAATTATCGATCCATGTGAAAATGTGAAAGAAGTTAATGTGCCTTTTAAAAATCTAAACAATTAAGTAATACTAATATAAGAAATTATATACTTGATTTATCCCTTTTAATGGTATAAAGGTTGAAATGCCATTGTATTAGATATTTTGTGTCTGTATACGTCTGCAAGATGTCTGTTAAAGATCTCTTGATCTGGAAAGCACCTGCTGTATACAAACGTCTGGCAGACGTCTGTATGATGTCAGTTTTACACACATTCTGAATCGCAAACATCTTAAAGATTTCTAATAGAAGTCTATTTCACATCTGATAGGAAACGTCTTGTAGATGTCTTGCAGATGTGAATGCAGACGTCAAAAGACTCGTCAGTGGGGATTCACTGGGATGTAGATTACATCTCATTTGACTTTTATTTATTTTTTAATAGTTGACGATTTGTATTATGGCAGGCTTAGCTTATTTGATTTGTTTCTGAGATTACAGTTGTCTTGTGTTCTCCTGTTCAAAAATAAATGTTTTTAAATCAAAACTTGCATCAGTATCATGGATCAAAATGTCAGTACACAAACCCGATGTAGCCTACGGTTTAAAGGTATTTGAGTAGGCCAAATGCATCAATTTGGTGGTGAATGAAAGAACCAGTCATTATTATAATCTGATTTGATTATAGATTAAAACACTATTTGTGCATGTTTATATTCAAATAATTAAAAAAAATGTGTAGGGGGCCCACTGACATTGAGAGGGTACAGGGCCCAGAATTTGGTGCTATGCCCCCTCACCTCTGCTCGTCTTCAAGCCAAACTAAGATCAGCGCAGTGTTTTTATGGCAGGTTTTTATCCTTCATACATGTTAAGAGATCAAGTTGATTGACCTGATAAGGGAATATGTCTTGACATAATACACACAGATGTGACTTAGTAAAGTGTGAAGTGATGTATGATTTTAATCGTTGCATTAGTCTAAATGTAAATTCCCTCATCAGGCAGAGCTGGAGCAGCGCGAGAGGATCACAGCGCATCAAACGAACAGTATTAACAAAAGAAAAAGACACAACTCAAGACACTTAAATGCTTGTATTTGTTGTATTTGTTGCAGCTCTGTGATGCTCGTCCACAACTTCATGCATTGGGTTAAATTAAGCTGTCCAGTCTCTGTGTTTAGTCTATTACAATCATGGTGGAAACCCAGACAGGCAGTCAGGCAGCATAATACAGAGTGAATCAAAGCACATCGGTAATTAAAAGGGGAAAAAATAAAAATAGAACAAATATCTATACTTTTATATTAGACACACATCTGATGCTTGTATTTTCAGGAGCTCCACGTTCACAACTTCACAAATTGGTTTAAATTAGGCTTTAGTCTCCTTTACTTCCATTGTTTCTGTTCAGTGGTGAAAACTCAATTAACCCTATGACGTCAGACACAGCGACATTCCAAGATGGCTGTGGCCTAGTTCTAAAATCTATAGTAAAACATGCAATTTTCTGCTAAATGGTTATATTAATCAAGTTTGTTTAATATATTTTCATTAAAGTGGAATCCAATGTACAAAATAAGGTAAACTTGACTAAGTGCTTCATTTCCCCTTTAAATTACAAGTTCAAACGTTTTCTTCACCACTCTGAAACCTCCAATGTGAGAGCATTTAATAAATTGAATACAAAAGACTTAAGTGAGTTTAATTTAAAAGACTGACCTCTTTTTTGCTTACTGAATATAGGCCTACATTTTCCACTTAGTGGCTTGAAATTAGGGCTGGCAAAAATCCAAAAATTGATTTCTATATTGAACAATGACGATATGTATTTCTATATAAGTTATTAGTGCTTCCAGATTTAAAAGAGTACCCCAACAATGACGGAGGCCACAAAAATGAGAGGGTCCGTTAAATGCCATAACATATTTTTGGCTGTAAATTCGATACATCTCTAATCTCAACACACTTTTAGATCCTTTTGATGCACATTGATGCATATCGATGCTGTGTAATTGGCTCTTAGATCGATATAGAGTGAAAAGGTCCAGAGCTTATTATTACTGACAAATTTGATTGCTATTCGATATAATATTGTTTATCGGCCCAACCCTACTTTAAATAATCATTTAATTGCAGTAAATCAACCTGTCCTACACTTTATTTCTCAAAAGCGGATTGACTTTTGGGTGTAATCTGCTGCAAGAATCTGGCTATGAAGATATGCACTGTATGTACTTAACTGACAAGTTAAACCATTTCCAATTGTTTGCCATCTAATACAAAATCCTGCAATATTATTTAAGAAGCTATTATCTAAGCCAGTGGTTCTTAAACTGTGTTACGTGTACCACTAGTGGTACGTGGAGAAATGAAATATGTCATGTAAATGCTACACACATTTAAAAATTTATCAAAAATTATGTATATAATATGTCATAAATTACATATAGCCTGTATTTCTGAGGTAATTTAACTGTGTATAGTTGTAGCTGCTTAACTGGGCCAACCACGCTCCTGTATTTCAATACTGCTCATTTTGGTGGGACTTGAAGAGACAATTTTTTCTGAGGTGGTACTTGATGAAAAAAGTTTGAGAACCACTGATTTAAGCTAAATAAAAAGACAAATTTACTTACAGCAGAGCACTTGAATATTAGAGGGCAATTACCACCGTAAAAAAGCTACTAACAAAGATAAAAGACACATTATTATTATTATTATTAATAATAATAATAATAATAATAAGTTATTATTATAACTGTTTTGACTTGCCCTCATGTTACGTTCGAACCACCCCCGACTACGGTCATGTGGTAATGTTCAAATAAAACTAACATGAGCGCAATGAACCATTTTTAAAAATATAAACACGATGTAAAACACATTGTTTATGCCCACTAATACATTAATATTGTTTGCTAATGCGCCCGTATTGTAATATGTTACTTTGAATAAAATATAAATGTTATATATATTAATACATCATATATTAGAAGGAAACTCTAGTTATTTACTACGTTTTTTAAGTGCGTATCATCTTTTTAGCAACTTCGTTTTATAAGTTATACCACATGACTCGGAGATGTTTCGCAACAGACGCGGCCCTTACGTCAACGCGTACACAGACGTCACAGGAAGTAGACGGCGGCGGGCGGCTGCGGCACTGCAGTTTGAACGTTATCCGTAGCTGCGGCACATTTTAATGTAAAAATCGTTGTTTTTTAGCATACAATTATTCATGTTAAATACATAACATGACGTTCGCCTTAATAATGGTCTATATTTAAGTTGTTATCAAGTAAATTGCGTTAAATGTACGTCAACCGACATAATTCCGTTCGAATAGTGGACAGTAAAATGTAAACAAAGGTAATGTACTGTAAATATGTATTTCTTTACCTACAACTCTCCTTGGTCTTGATGCACATGTTGTTTTTAGAAGATACTCTTAATGTATGTCATTCGTAAAATAATTCACGTAATAGTTAACGTAATGGGATAGTTTATCCGAAAACAAAAAAGATGTCGTTATTTAAAAGCTATGAGTTTCTTCTGTTAAACACCAGTAACGTAATTTCTTTATCCTACTGTGTAAGTAAATGGTTACAGGTGTCCCAACATTCTTCAATATATATATATATATATATATATATATATATATATATATATATATATATATATATATATATATATGTATATATGTGATCAGCAGAATAAACTAATGAAGTGTAACACTTTATTTTGATGGTCAAAATAAATACTCACTTTTCATTTGAGTATTAGTAGACTGTCTGCTTGATATCTGTTGATACTGCTCCTTCAACAGACATTTAACTGTCTATAAGAAACTTTGCAAGTACATGTCAACTTACACTAACTCCAACCTAACAGTCTGCTTTTAATCTAATGAGAATTAGTTGGCATGTAGATGCAATGTAACTAAAAGTCAACAAATGGACCATCAAAATAAAGTGTGGCCGTAAAGGTTTATAACCACTTGAGGTTGAGGAAATTGTAAGTAAGTTTAAATTTTTAAGTGAACTATCCCTTTTACACATTTGACAGATCATGCATGTAGTAGCTTATCATGGACGACTCGGACCAGGACTTCAAAGACCTCTGCTCGCGGCTCCTCAAAAGGGTACGAAGGAAAGGACCAGCAGAATCTGGAGATGAGAAACGATCAGCAACCAAGGATGAAGAACCATCCTCTCCGTCATCTGGAAGAAACCCACCTAAGAGAAGAAAGAGGACTAAAGATGCGGTGAAGACTCAGCTGAACGGCAGGAGTCAGACTGCGGTGTCTGCTGGTGCTCCTCAGGCTGACTCTGGTGTGTCTGCCACGGGGAAGGTGAAAGATGCTGTGATCCGGAGAATGCAGCAGTTTAAGAGAGCCAGTCCAGAGAGACTTTTACATGCAGAGACAGATGGGAACTGTGACGCTCCTGATGGGGTCCAGCACACAGGTATGGTGACCAGTCAGTCTTAATCTTAAAGGGAGAGTTCACCAAAAAAAAAACTAAAGTTTACTCAAAGTTTACAAGTGGTTTTAAATCTTTATGTGTTTCCTTTTTCTGTTAAACACAAAAGAAGATATTTTGAAGAATGTTGGAAACATGTAACCATTTACTTGCATATTAGGAAAAACTAACACTATGGAAGTTAATGGTTACAGATTCTCAGCGTTCTTCAAAATATCTTCTTTTCTTATCAACAGAAGAAAGTTAGTCAAACAGGTTTGGAATAAGGAAAGGTGAGTGAATAATGACAGAATTTAGAGTTTTGGGTGAACTATCACTTTAACTTTAATAAAGAGATTAACTTTTTCGACATTACACAAGGTAGTGCAGATCAGAAGTAATGAAGTTAAAGGTTTTGATCATGTCTAATGTTTTAATAGCTGTTCAGATTTTGATTGAAGATTACAAACGTGTAGTTTCAGTGGATTAACTTGCACAGATTAAATGCTTTCTTACAGAATAACAATGAGCCCTAGCAAAATATACATTAAGTGTGGCCAACCCTGTTCCTGGAGAGCCACCTTGCTGCAGATTTCAGTTGCAAGCAACCCATATCAAACACACCTGAACCAATTAATTAGGACCTGAACACCATGTGATACTTACAGGCAGGTGTGTTTGATATGGGTTGTAACTGAAATCTGCAGGAAGGTGGCTCTCCAGGAACAGGGTTGGCCACCCCTGGTATACATTATACATTTTGTCTTTAAAAAAAAAAAAAAAAAAAAAAAAAAAAAAAAAAAAATATATATATATATATATATATATATATATATATATATATATATATATATATATATATATATATATATATATATAATAAATTAATTAGATGCACTGCTCTTGATAGGTATTTAAGGCCTGACTATCAGATAGATTTATATAGCATAGCTTATTTACATTCATCTGACATACAACAGTTATACTACATTTATGTAAAAAAAAAAAAAAAAGTACATCCGTAAAGTCCTAAAGCAAAGGACATCTGTTAAAATTTCAGCTGAATCAGTGAGTTATTTCTTAACTTGTATGAAATTTAATAGTATTAATTGTTTATGTTTTGTTGCAAAAGAATGGCTTTATAATAAGTGTTTTTATTGAAATTATTTGTTAAATTAAGTAATAATAAATTGTTATACTGCCATACATTAAAATCAGTTAAATAAATCATTCAGTTTTTAATTTAACCTCACGTCATCACACAATTTGTGTTAGTGAAACTCTTCACAGGTATGAATTCATATTTAGACTCCATAATTGGACAGATTTTACAAAACATGGCTATTAGGGCTGCATGATATTGGAAAAAATCTAAAATTGCATTATTTTACTTTTCTGCAATAAATATTGTGATATGAAGAGTCTCATAAGATAGTTTGATGCTAGTTTGTCTTAAGTGTATTATTCAGGTACAGAAATTGAATAATCGCAATACAGATAAATGCTTTTCTTACATTGCTTTGTCTCGTTTCTACTTCAAATATCAAAAAATTATTAATCAAGTGAAAATATTGTTTTGTTTTCAACTCCAGAAAAAGTTAAATTATCTGTCAGTGGGGTCAGTAAAAAAAATAATAATTACACACTATGAATCACTTAAGCATTAGCATATAGTAAATTCATTATTTGTTAAGCATTAACTCTACATTAATTGATATCAGTAATCAGTTAATAACTGCAGATAAACATGCTCTATTCTTGACTCATGAGCACATTTATAATTTTCTTAATAATTGTACCTTCATAATTTGTGACTGGTTGATTTTTCATGTCTAAATTCAGTATCGCATAATTTACAAACCATTTGTATTTAAGAGTAGTTGATGGTTTTTAAGATCATTCAGACTGAGTTAGTAAATGATTAATAAACTATTTAAATGAATATTTATATATCTTGTTATTATTCAGTCATGCAATAGTCACTTTTTATGGTAACAAATGCTTTATTAACTCAACTTCATGGAGTTGTGTGATCTAAATCTAAAGTGAGAACTATTTATGCTTTATAAATCCCTTGTAAATAAAAATGAAAGGTTTAGTATCAAATGAACAGTACATCTTTACAATCTTATCTAAAAAATAAAATTACTGTAAAGTTTAAACTTTGCTGAATAACAGGAGTGTCAAAATACAACATAGAACCGGATAAAACAACAACAATATAATAGATTAACAATATATTATGATACAGCATTTCAATGTTATTTAGCAAAGCTTAAACTGCACAGTAATTTTATTTTAGATAAGATTGCAAATATATATATTTTTTAATATACAGTTTTATTTGTGTGTCTTGAAACTAATAGAACTTGATAAAGTCGTTTATTTTCTTTTTCCCCCCTGTTTAGAATGTAACTGAGCCTTTTTGTCATTTATAATGGATTATTAAAGCATAAATAGTCCTCACTTTAGGCCACCAAACTGAATGAAGTTGAGTTAATAAAGCATTTATTAAAAAAACGAATAAACTAATAATATATGCCTGAATAATAATCATAAATGTTAATTTTGAAAAGTTTATTAATCATAAATGATGCAATACTTAATTAAGAAAAGAAAAATGAATATGAACATTGCACATGTGTATATAAGTTAAGAGTACAGCGATTGTAGCTGCAGTTATAATCTGCTGACTAACATTTATTAATCTAGAGTTAATGCCTAACAGATAAAGAATCATTTTTGTTCTAATGCTTTAATGGTTCATAGTGTGTAGCTAAAGTGTTACCAACAAATCTTGTTTTGAAATGTAGATTTGGACAAAACTAAGAGGAACTAAGAGAAAAACTATAGGTAAGATTTCCCAAATCATATAAATTCCTTATAAATATGTAATTGATATACATATATAATAGATATACATGATATAGCTCATGGTCAACTATAATACAGACTCAACATTGCATGTGCACATTGCAATATTGATGCTGAAACTATATTTTGTGCAGCCCTAATGGCTGTTATTTTTATTAGTTTGCATGAATATCAATAATAAATATATGTTTATTTTGAAAGTAATTTTGTCGTATACAACTATGTGTTGTCATCTGTCTCTGCAATGTAAGTGTATTTTAAGTATATTCTTATTTTATTTTTTCCAGTTATTAATTCCTTGGGTTGTTATTGTTATCATTGTTCCTTGAAATTTAGCTTTGTTAATAAATATACTGGTCACACTTTATTTAAAGTTACAATTCTTACTATTACCAAACAATTAACTAACACTTAACTCCATAAACTATAAATTTGTTGGTTATTAGTTGCGTAGTAGTTGAGTAGAGTAAGATCATGCAGAATATGTACTTTATAAGTACTAATAAACAGCCAATATCTTAATAATAGACAGGTAAAAAGCCAATAGTTAACAGTGGGAACTGATACTTAAACTAAAGTTTTACCAGTATGAAGCTGCAGACTGGAAACGCAAGTTTGTGTCAAGTTTTGCAGTTCGCTGGGATGCAAAGTGCAAGCTTGGTGAACTCTGACCTGCGAAATCGCATCACTTGACTGCGTGAGACCAATCGAGGATCACAACATGACCTCTCTGGACAGGAATTTAAAATATGGAGCAATCACTCGCTTTTTTTAATGGCCAATCATCTTGTTTAAATCCGCCCCTTTTCGCAGTGCCGTATGACAGAATTTCACAAGCTCAAACTGTAGTGTGACCGCAGCTTTATTTATATAATCCATTGGTCTCAATCTCAATTCCTGGAGGGTCACAGCTTTGCATAGTTTAACTCCAACCACCTCCAACTCACACCTGCTTAATAGACTTGAGTAGTCTTGTATACCTTGATTAGTTGGATCAGCTGTGTTTGATAAGGGTTGGAGCAAAACTGTGCAGAGCTGCGGACCTCCAGGAATCCAGTTTGAGACCTTTGATCTGATTGTAAAGTTTTATACTGTTTTATAAAGTTTGTTGAAATGTAGTAACTAAATTGTATTTAACAGGTTAGCTGCCATTACTATGGGAGAATGTAGGGCAAATCATTTTGGGGACAAATTTAATGTCAAAGGTGCATCATGTTGTTTTTCAGAGGATGTGAGTGGCGATGAAGCTCTGGCTCTTCGGCTACAGCAGGAGCTGGATCGAGAGGCTCGGGCGGCTGCTGGAGATGTGGAAGATGGAGGACTGTTCTTCTGTCAGCTCTGCCAAAAAGATCTTTCATCCATGAGCCCCTCGCTGCGCACTCAGCACATCAACAGGTGAAACACTACCATGTAGTGACAATGCATAGTGCAAGCTCTGTGATTGGTTGGTTTGGCAGCAGTGATGAGTGTATAAAATGTAGTTTTGTGTTTACCTTATGATTAAAGATGTTAGACATTCACCGGTCTCTGAATGAGCGAGTTTCAACTACTTGTACTTTACGGTAGCGTTAAGAAAAAAACAAAAACCCCACAATTAAACTCGATACAGAGGAACATTAAACCCCCTGCTAGCTAGCGTTTTGGAAGTGTTATTGCAGAGCAACACAAACAGCATGCAGAAGTATAAATGCACGGCTTTGCGCAAGGCGCCGTGGGTCACAACGATCACTCAGTGCAGCAGCCTTTACTCAGCTTCATACTACCATGATAATAAGTGTTGAATGCTTTAGCTCATCCGTGAACAAGATTTCTGCAAGAGTCCAGTAGGATGGAATTAAGACCACAACTTCCATGATTTCACACACATGAGTTTCACATTTGGCCTCTCTTTCTTCTCTTGGGTTTTTTCAGATGTCTTGATGCCAGTGAGAGCAGCGCACCCTCGACATCCCATCATTCCCAGCCCAGACCACGGGTCCCAGAGTGTCCCATCTGCGGAAAGAGTTTTAAATCAGAAAAAAGCCGCTCTGCTCATCTAAAGCGCTGCTCATCTGATATGGGAGTGAAGCCCAATGATCTTCTCCAGGCTTTGAGGAGACAAGCGGCTGAGACAGAGAGCGACCGCAACGCAGACCAAACGTAAATCAAACACTGTCCACATTTTCACCTTTTTATATATATATATATATATATATATATATATATATATATATATATATATATATATATATATATATATATATATATATATATACAAACAGTACTGTGCAAAAGCTTTAGGCTAACATTTAGTGGATATGTGGATAATAATGGATATATGTAACCCTTTACATCTAATTTTTTGTAAATTAATTTTTGTAAAATTAAGATTTACACGGTAAATAAATTATCTTTAAGTGAGTGGATGTATGATTTGTTAGGATAGAATTTAGGTTAGGTTAGAGTTTGAATTATTTTGGTTAAGTTGTTTAAGACATGTAAAAGAGTGTTAGAGAGAGAGGGTGTTTGTCCTTTTGTGAGCTGCATTTCTACCAGTGTTGTTAGCAATATTGTCTGAATTGATGGAATTGTGAATGTTGAAAAGAACAGAGAGCTTTTAAGCCATTATGTCTTTTTTTCTGGAAAAGGCTTCAGTAGTAATAGTTTTCATTTCCAGCATAATTCATATTTGGAGAAAGAAAACAGCAGATGAAACACAGTCATGAAACGGCCTCCACAGGGTCCAGACCTGAATGTTAAAGAGGCTGAATGAGATCACCTGGAGAGAAAAGATAAAGACATTCTAAATGTAAAGAAGAACTCTGGAAAGTGCTAAAAGAAGCCTGATATTACACAACACATGTCAGAAAATGTCAGGACAATTAAAACAAAACAGTTCAAGCCGTGCTTTGTGCTATTGGCAGCCACATTAAATATTGACCTTTGCTGGAAGCGGAAAAGTTGTGCTGTTGTTTATTATGTATTTCCTAAATTTTCTGTTAGTTTTTAATTAAAAGAGATGGATTGATTATATATTGTGCAAAAGTCTTAGGTCAAAAGGCTTAGGACTTTTGCACAGTACTGTATATAGGTGTTTGTCAATTTCTAAATATGTAAAATAAAAATTGGACTTCACCAACTTATAAATTCAATCTTTCTTCAGGCAACAAGTGGGTGGTGCTGTAAGGAGGGATGGTGTGCCTGTGAAAAAGAAGAGCAGGAGGAAAGGGCAGAAGTTGGATGAGGACACCATGATGGCGCTGGCTCTGTCCCGCTCTCTGCTGGAGCAGGAGGTGGAGAAAAAGCGAGAGCTGGAGGAGCAGAGGGAGATTCTGGCTCAGATCTCCAGCCCTCCTGCAGCCACAGCTCCTGTCCTAAAGTGGAAACCTGGAGCAGGTCAACTCAGCTCTTCATGTCAATTTCCACAAATTCCTGTGATCATTCATTCATTCATTCATCAACCCACGTGAACACAGGGAGAACATGCAAACTCCATGTTTTAGAATTTTAGATTTTAGAATGACCAAAGATTTTTGATTTTAGAATGACCAAAACAGCAATTCAGATGTTTTACATTGTGGTTGATTCACTGTTTTTTTCATTAACATTGTCCCATCGCACCTATTTTTGTCATCACATTATCTGTTAATACAAAATCACATTTCTGAAATTCTGACTTTTCTGAAACACATGCTGGAATTTTTTCAGTAAGTGTTTTTCCAAGTTTTTTATCTGACAATAGTTTTATCTCACTCAGTTGTGCACATTTATTTTTGTCGTTTTCAAAATGAATGGGCATCTTGTTGTTTCCATAAAGTATTTTTATGCAATAATCCCAAATGGACCTAAAAATAGGTGACTGAATGAAGGCTGAAAGTGCAAACGATCCTCAAAACACAAGCTTCCTGAAACCATATTTGTACTGTAAATTAAACACAGCATATCATTCCTGTTTTCATTCAGGTAAGGGTCGTGGAAAGAGAAGGAAGGGAGCGTCTCCTGTCCAGCCGCCGTTGCTCCTCATTCAGGACCCTCAGATTGCACTGAACCGCCTACAGGAGCGGGTTTCATCTCTCCTGCTCTGCTCCAGACCACCTTCTCCTCCAACACCCACCCTGAGCCCCTCCAGCCTCCCTCTTCAACCTCACGCACCCCTCTGGGACAAAAGCGCTCTTCACAGAGGACGACAAAACTCTGTTTCAGAGTTCTACACGTCTGAGTTGAGCAGCTTCATACAGCCATGGGTCGCACCAGTGGTGAGAAAAAATGTTCATAAAGATCAAAAATTGTAAATATAGTTTAATCAATATGTAGTTAATGCAAAAATGGGGTTTTATTAAAAAATATACAAATGTCAGGAATATTATATTATATTATATTATATAATGATAAAATGTAATATAAAGATATAATATAATATAATATACATTTTTATGGTAATGTCTTTCAAAGTTTAACTGCATGATTTTAAATATAGTGGTCCCTCGTTTATTGCTGGAGTTATGTTCTTAAAATAACCCACCATAGGCGAAATTTGCGAAGTAGTCAGCTTTATTTTTTATAATTATTCTAGATGTTTTAAGGCTGTAAAACTCCTCACTATACACTTTATGCACTTTTCTCAGACAGGCATGAACATTTTCACACTTTTCTCTCTATTTTAAACACTCAAAGTTCAAACTTTCATAAAAAAATGAATGTTATAGAATTGTTATACTGTTATAGAATGAAATCAAAGATCAAAACCATTTGATCTTCATTTATTTATTATGTAATGGTGCCCTACAGCCGTGTAACTTCTACCTTCCTTTGGCATCTCCAGAAGTTAAACTTTTTGTGTGATGGTAAGCGTCTTTCTCTGTGTTTTGGGTGCTGCTGCGGGTGCCTTTAATGGTGCAGAGTGTTTCGTCGACACGATACAGTTCAGCACTTCACAGTCACACTACTAGTGATCGAAGATTTATGTCAATTTGGCAAGCTGAAAGCATTCTGTACTGTACAGGAGACACGGCACGGAGGAGATTGACAGAGAATGGGCTACAGCCAGTCAGAAGGCAGAACACAATGCGATGTAGAAAAAAGGCATGCCAAATTACATGGAAAACAATCTGAGAAACTGCGAGGATGTGAAAAGTAAATCGAGTTATAGCGACGGACCACTGTATATAAAAACTATAGATTTTATTAAAACATAAGCATTGTAGATAAAAATTACATTTTTTTTATTTTTATATTTGAATATTTTAGTAATTTTGTTGCAGTTTTATTTTCATCACTTTTCATTAATTTTGTTGCAGTTTTTGATTTAGGTTTTAAGTTAAACTAATTGCTGTTGGCATTTATTTTATTTAAGGTGAACAAAATATTATTACACTTCAGTGGTTTTTGTTAGCTTTAACAACCTTGATATACTGAGTAGACCTTTCATGGGAAAAAGAAATATGGTTTTAACTGAGACTTAGGGTTTTATCCAAAATCATAACAATTCAGTTAAAGGGTTAGTTCACCCAAAAAGAGAAAATTCTTTCACCCTCAAGTCGGTTTAAATCCCCCAAGACCTTCTTTTATCTTTCGAACACAAATTAAGATCATTTAGATGAGTTCTGAGAGCTTTCTGACCCTCCATAGACAGTAATGGTACTGAGATGTTCAAAACTCAGAAAGGGAGGAAAAAACATAGTTTAGATTAGATTCAACTTTATTGTCATTTACACATATACAAGTACAAGGCAACGAAATGAAGTTTAGGTCTAGCCAGGAGTGCAATAGCAGCAAGTGCTGGATATAGTTATAAATTATAAAGTGTAATTATAGAAAAACTATGAGTATTATTTACAGATAAATGTATCACGAACATAATATACGGGTTGTTTTAGCTATGAACAGAGATTTATAATAGGTGAATATATGTACAGGTTGGTATTAATAATCAGAAGTATGCAGATAGATATGAACATAATTACAAATGTATATTGGATTTATACAATTCAAGATGAATTAGTGCAACAAAGTGCAATGAATATGTACAATTTTAAATGTGCAAATATTAAAAGTGCAGTCATTAGGGGGAGTATAAGTTATGAGAAGAGTTCAAAAAGTCTATTCATCTTCTGTCATTTCATTTGAGGGAACATGCCCTCACCTGACACTGTGGAGAAGAAACTTTAATGCCCCATTCCCACAGGACGTCAGCGTCAACGCTTCTCATTCACTTTGCATGGGTGACTTCAGTTGTTGCTGGACTACTTTGTGGATCAGTCGGCGTGGTTTGCTGTGGAATTTGGAATTTCTTAACTTTTCAAGCACCAACAGACGTGTCAGCCAATCAAATCTATTTATGCAAATATACCAGCTCAGACAGTAGCCGATTGCGAATTAATTTTATCGGCTGACGCTGCTATGATGTTCGCTTCAGTCCCAACTTCAAACACACTCTCTGTCAAGCCTTGATTCTGAAGCTCTGTGTGAATCAGGTGTAAGAGATTTCATTGTGTGTGTGTGTGTGTGTGTGTGTGTGTGTGTGTGTGTGTGTGTGTGTGTGTGTGTGCGCGCGTGTGTGCGTGCGTGAGTGCGTGTGTGTGTGTTTTCTCGTAAGATTCTCGTAGTTCAATTAAGATTAAATGACTGGAGAAACTGCTGTAACAATATTTTTGGTACCTTTATGAATGAGTCGAGACCGTTGCTGTCAATGGAGGGTCAGAGAGCTCTCTGATTTTATCTAAAATATCCTGATTTGTGTTCCAAAAAATGAATAGTCTTAGGGGTTTGGAGCGCCATAATAGTAAAAGAAAAAAAAAATTACATTTTTATTTTTTTATTTTTTACAATTGTTTCTTTGTGTTTTGAAAAACATATTTAATTTTCTGTACATTATTATTTTAGAAAGAAAACGACAAGCCTCTTGAAGCAACACCAGTCAAAAGTACTCCAGGTCTGCTTCAGGACAAGCCTTCAGATCAGAGCCCGACACAGAATCGAACTACCCGTCCTCTCACCCCCTGCTCGGATACGCCGGGCACCCAAGCTCTGCAGGACCTGATGGAGCTTGCAGAGGAAGGCATGACCCTCACTCAGTATGGATATACAGCATATACAGCTGCAGTGGGCACATCAGGTAATAATCTAAATAATCTTTCATAAAATACACTCTTTTAATACATTGATCTTATGCTGTCCCATATTCTTTAGATAAAGACAATCCATTGAATGAACTTCCCTCAAGTGGATCTGCTCCAGAGGCAACTGACAGAAAGACTGATAAAACGGTAAAAATTTCTTTCTCTTAGGACTGAACTGCATTGAAAATTGAGCAAAGTCATTCGTTGAAATACTCTTCATTGGCCATGTTTGTTGTTCAGGTGTACATTTCAAAGCTAGCTTCAGATTTGAGCAGTATGGTGAACAACCCCCAACTCAGTGATGTGCAGTTGCAGGTGGACAGTGGCGATGTCTTTTTTGCACACTCGTTTATGCTGTACACACGATGCCCCCTGCTGGCCAACATGGTTAGTGCATTTTTAAAACGATGCCACCAGCATCAACTGAGTGCTGACAAATAACTAAACTGTGTTCGTAGGTTCACGATTCAGGTTTTGGCGTTCAGGAGGAAGGTTTGCCTGTTGCTCGGAGGGTGCTGTTTGGTGATGTGTTGGGTGAGGCAGTGTTGGCCTTCCTGCAGTATCTTTACACAGCTCACTGTCCTCTGACGCACACTCTGATACCACATGTGCAGGAGCTTGCCGATAGGTCAGTATGACAATTTCAATAGTGTGATTAAGTTCTGTGTATAAAATGAGATCGCAGTAGCAAATCTTGTGATAATTTTCAGGTTTGGTTTAACTGAGCTACAGCAGCAGTGTGAAGAGTATTCTGGAAGCACAGATGAAAACGCATCTAAAGGCATGTTTCAAGCACCTGAACCTCATCTCAGGGACCAAGAAGAGCATAAGTTTGCAGAAAGCAACTTCTTGGAGCTTCTCCAGTCAATGTGGCAGCATGAGGACAGTGAAGAGGAGAATGAGTTTAACGAGACGTCCGGAGAGAAGAGAGTCATGGAAGAGGTGCAAGAGAGAGACGGAGAAAAAGAGGACCGAGTGGACGAGGAAGAGCTAGATGAGATCTATGAGTTTGCAGCGACGCAAAGAAAGACGGAGACAATGTTGGAAACTGCGACAGAGACTGAGGACGATGAGGGAGATGCAAATACATCCCCTGGAAATGAAATGATGAAAGATGAAGAGATCGAAAAAGGCGAGTCAGAATCCCTCCAAGAGAAGTCTGCCGGCAGTTGCCATAGTAACAGTCGAGGCGTGGACGGGACGGAGTCTGCCATGGTAACAAGTCCAACAGAAACCCCAAATCTGGAGACTGCTAGAGTTTGTTTGATGCCAGATTTAGATGCCGGCACACATGAAAACAAAGACCCAGATGCCAGCCTTGACAAGAGCTATGACCGTTTATTCTCCCAGTCTATAGGGGAATACAGGGAACTGTCACAGGCACCAGCATCCTGCTCTCAGAAACAACATTACAAGGCTTCACACACACTACAACGAAACACACCTGCCCCATTTCGCCCTTCATGTGTCAGTGAGGTGATTGACCTGTCAGTAAGCCCTCCTCTAAGCTCAGGTATGTCAGGTGAGACTTCCTTTCCAATGCCTGGTGTGTCTCCGGTCCCATATAAGGATGAAGATACATGCTTAAGAAAAGATATTCTAAGCTGCCCAGGAATAAAAGACCCTCCTTCCCCTCCAAAATCACATAGTAAACAAGTTGAGCTCATTGTACTTTCAGATGACTCTAATGAAGGAATGGATGTGGATGGCAAACACAATACTAGTACCACTAAATGTGCTTTAACCCCTAAGTCTCCTATTAAATCTCCACCAGAGCCTCCTCACATGGTCAAAAGCTGTGCTCTTCAAGTTAAACCCACAGAAACTGGACCCCAAGGCCATGCTGGTAAACATGTGAACACTTCAAAGCAGGTGACAATTGATACAGAAACCAAGTCTGACTCTTCAGAGCACTGTAGCCCTGGGGTTGCAAATGAAAGTGTGTTTGATGGCTCTGCTGAAGTTTCCTGGCTGATTCCAGCTACTCCGGTACCATCCACACGATGTAGCTCTGCCCAGACATGCGTCACTATGCGCCGAACTCAACTATTTCCCAAACCTTGCTCTGCCTCATCTTCTTCTTCATCATCCTCTGTGTTGGACAGTTTGAAACCTGCCACCTTTGCTTCTTCAAGCAGCAAATGCTCTAAAGAGAAGCAAGCACCCTTGTCTGAACTCCTCCAATCAGGTCAGAGCTCCTCTAAAGAACATACTAGCACTGAAATGGATCACTCTCCAGGTTTCCAGAGACCACTTCAACATCTTAGATTGTCTCAGGTTGTTTCTGATGTCTCTCGTGCTAGCACCATCATGGGACATCTAGCCCAGGGTGTCCCACAACCCTCAAGTAGCACTCCTGTCCATTCAGTTGGTTCCTTACAACGTAAGATCCTGTTTGACTCTCCAGTGGATAGGGAATATGAGGTTCCCCTCAGGGATAGCAGAGGCCTCTCTAGTTCATTTAACTGTCAGAAGAAAGTAGAATCTTTTCAACTAAATTCTCCTTCCCCTTGTAAAACACCTGAAAAGAGCCAGCATGAATGCTTTAAACCATCCCATCAGGAGAGTAGTCCTGAAAGATCAAGAGAAAGTGGGAATAATGGGATTGAACAAATGAAAGTGGGAGAAGAGAGTCTAAATCAAAGTGTTGAAGAAGTGGTGGATATATCCCGAAAGTCATTATCTGACATGGATGACCCTTGGAGAAGAGCTAGGGAAGAGAATCCAAAACAAAGTGTCGAGGAAGTGGTGCATATTGCAGACAACTCGTTATGTAATATAGAAGAAAAAGTGGAAGAAGAAAATCCTAATCAAAGTGTTGAAGAAGTGGTGGAGATGGCGGGCAGTTCATTCTGTCAGATGGATGAGCCTCCCATAGCGTTTGACGACTCCTGGGGTTTGGATGGAGGCATAGGGAGCCAGAAGCCTCACTTTAGTCTAAGACTTGACAGCAGTGAAGGCACACTCAGTTCACCAGGTCTCGAGAGTAAAGGACAAATGACAAGTCTACAGATCAAATCTCCTGTTGCATCTGGAGCTCATAACAAAACCCCTGATGCAAGTCCACCTTCATTCAATCCCAGCCTCCCTGACCCTGATATGTGGGACGATTGGGAGGAAGAGGGGGAGGAGGTGCCCCTTCCTCTTTCTCAGAGACTAGCAGCTCCTTCTGACAAGCGAGTCGCCGAATTAAAGACTCCAGGTAAAACAAGTTGTCCTACTTGTTCTACATTTGAATTATATTTACCTGAATCTTGTTTGTTCTTTCACGGCTGCACAGATCTCTTAATTCTGTATTTTTAAAGATTTCAGAAAACTGTAAAATCAACTTTTACTTTTCTGCACAGTTGCGCCCAGAAAGAGGAATAATGGACCACTGGTGCCCATCACTCCCATGCCAGGCTTCTCTGATATGGAGACACCTGAACTCAAAAACAGACTCAACAGGTGAGCATAAAGAGAACATGCACACAGCGATACTGGTAAATATCTGGAGCATTTCTGGAACGACTTTTAATTCAAGGCGTAATTTCTAGGCGTATATTCAAAAAAGTGCTGTTTACAAAGGCAAGGACGTTCTGCAATTAATTTAGAAAAGACCATTCACACATCTATGCTAAAATACCAGTAAATTCTGACATCATTAACCTGAAATGAGCTCTTAACGGCTGCGCTTGTGTTTGTGAACATAGAAGTGGTCGTGCTTTATTGATGGTTCTGGACTCCTTAGGACCCTTTTTTTAAATTTTTAAAAAATTTTTTTATTTTTTTTACTTGGTAGCACCGGTGCTCCCAACTTCAAATATTTAGGAGCACCAGAAAAAAATTAGGAACACCCACCAAAAATAAATGAGCACCAATGCTGATTGTACATTAAGGGATTCATTGTATTTGAAAACAACATCAATTAGGACTAACAAAAAAACAGAAAAAAACATCCAACTAATGCTGTGATGACTTATTGATTTTTTTGCAAAAATTCCAAAATGAATGTCTAATAATTATTAAATATTAATTTTGACGATGATGACAATAACACTAACAATGATTTATATTTTTCATTATCATGCTGTCTTGAATGTGCTTAAATGTGAGTTAAGTGCTATAAAAAGTCCCTACTGTTACATTATGAAAAATAAATCTATGGTTAGCATCAAACAAAAATGAAGCATTGCTGTGAAAAGTCCATTTTGCACTATTATTTTTATATGCATGTCAATTTAATGAATTATATTTCTGCTACAAACAAACAAAACATGAAAATAAATCATTCAATTCAAGGCTGAAAGCTATAAAGAAGTCATCAGTAACTAAATAGAAAAATAATATGCATCCCAAAAAAGAATGGACAAAAGAAAGTAAGAAAAGTCTCATTTCTACTACCGGTACTCTTTTGGTTTTGGTTTTAGTTTGTGTCATTTTAAATGCTCAGTCTCGTTATGCACTGATTTACATTGTTCTGTGTTTGTGGAAAAGCAGGCGAGTCAGCCGACCCAATACAGTATATGAGTGGTGCAGAGCAGGATTCTCGCGTTGACTACAGGCACAATACCGTTCTTTGCTATGAGCCGCAGTTTCAGCCCTGTGATTTCACTTTTATTTAAAGTTTAGCATCCAAAGACAGAAGTGGGAGCAGCAGCTAAATGTTTACACATTTGTCTACATTACAAATTCTGTGTATAGATAAGTATTGTGAACAACTTCGATGAAATCATGTGGAGGAACACTTTCGCATGTCGAGATGTACATAATATGTGTGTGTGCTGGAGCTCACTGGCTGCTTAACATGCACACACGTCAAGCAACTGAAGCAGAGCTTGAAAGTAAACAAACATTGGTTTATTGTAAGCATTTTATCGATAATTTTTTACACAGTTGAAATTAGGAAGGATCAAAGAAACGTTATCTGACTAACAACTAGCAGCTAAATATGTCTGGAATAATATTCAAGTGCTTTTATTTTCATAAATGTGAATGCGACTGAGTGTTCTGATTGGCTGGAGTAGAAGTCTCACGTCAGCACGTTTTAAATGTGAAGGCACTCTTTCTGGCAAGTTCCCTTCTGCGTTCACACAGAGCAGCATTTCGGCAAATTAAAGGTAATGTTACAACTTCACTTTCCGGAAAATTGCCGGCACGAATTTACCAGTGTTTTCAAAAAGGGCCTGTTCACACATGATCCCTTTCTGGAAAATTGCTGTTAACTTTCTGGAAAGGTCTGTAAGTGTGAAAGGGTCTAACAATGCACCTAACAAGAATGGATGTATGGGGAAAATATCGAAGTTGAAAACAAAGGTTGATTTTTTTCTATAACTTTGGCCTTGACATTTAAACAGGTCACTTAAGTGCAGTTTGTGAATGATCTTAGATTATCTGGTAATATGGTCTGCAGACCCACAGAGATGTACCTTTTGCACCAATGCGTCCGGCTGTAGTTTCTAAATCTCCTAAAATGTCTGGGATGCAACTTTTGCTTTCACTTTCTAAAGTTGCCGTCATTTTTATGCGTTTTTGCATAACCTTTTCGCAGCTGACTGCACTAGTACAGTCGCGAGAGAAACAATAAATGATTATTTAGTAAACGACTCAACTTGATTTATTTGACCTTGTACTCGGAGAGAACAAAATAACATCTATACTTGCTGCAAAATATTTTATACACCATTAGAAATGGTTGATCAACTAATTTGTCTTTAAATAATCTACACTTTTTATTCTTGTCATTATAATTTTTAGCAATAATGTCGGTTTTATTGATTTTTTTTTTCTGTTATTTATTTCTCATTTGCTGTATGTTTTAATTTAATGATGTTAATATATTACATATACTTTATACATATCTAAAATGCTTTAGCAATGCAAAATGTCATGCCAATAAAGTAACTTTAGAGAGAGAGAGAGCAGCCTGTGTATCTGTAAGTGGGTGCACGTGGCTACTGAATAGCTTAAAAGTAACACAAATAGTGGATTTCTTTTATTTCAACTGCCTTTTTAATAACTCTTACCCATTGAAAAGAAAAAGAGTATAACATTGTCATAATAAATAAAAAATATGGTTAAAAATCACATTACTTTTTGTTTTCATATGTAGTTGACCATTTACAGTTGAAATCAGAATTATTAGCCCTCCTTTTAATTTCTTTTTTTAAATATTTCCTAAATTATGTTTAACACAGCAAGGAAATTTTCACAATATGTCTGATAATATTATTTTCTTCTGGAGAAAGTCTTATTTGTTTTATTTCGGCTAGAATAAAAGCAGTTTTACAATTATTTCAAACAATTTTAAGGTCAAAATTATTAGCCCCTTTAAGCTATATATTTTTTCGATAGTCTACAGAACAAACCAACGTTATACAATAACTTGCCTAATTACCCTAACCTGCCTAGTTAACCTTATTAACCTAGTTAACCCTTTAAATGTCACTTTTAGCTGTACAGAAGTGTCTTGAACAATATCTAGTCAAATATTATTTACTGTCATCATGGCAAAGATAAAATAAATCAGTTATAAGAAATTAGTTATTAAAACTATTATGATAAGAAATGTGTTGAAGTAATCTCCTCTCTGTTAAACAGAAATTGGGGAAACAAATAAACAGGGGGAGTAATAATTCTGACTTCAACTGTAAAAGATGTGGGTAAAAGATGTGTTTCGATCCGGCTACCACCATAAGTATATTTCAAACCTGTGGGAAGCACTGCCTTTTTAACTTTCAATACTAGTCACATTCTAGACCAAAATGAAACTATTTATTTACTATTTATATCCTCCCCCCCCCCCTCTTTTTAAGGACTCATAGTATTAATAAACATTCATCTAACAATCAGGCTGTGTAATAGGTGTGTAATATTTAGTAAACTGAAGCTGGAACTTTGATTTCTAGGTTTGGCGTGCGTCCTCTGCCTAAGAAGCAGATGGTTCTGAAGCTGAAAGAGATCCATCAATACACCCACCAGCTGCAGAGCTCTGAGTCTGAGGACGAGACCTCTGGACCGCGGCGGCCTCCAATAGCCTCCAGCTCAAAATCACTCTCCTTTAAACAACCTACAGCGCCCCCTGCTGTCTCACCTGTCAAACTACCACCAAGAGAAGAAGAAGAGACTTTATCAGCATCTCAAAACTCGAACACATCTTCCACTGCAGAGTCCGAGAGGTACGGCTCATTTCTGCTGGTTACATTGTAACATGAAATACTGTTTCTGGGCCCAACGCTGTACTCATTTGAATTAAGAACACTCTCTCAATAGCTATTGATGACCACTGTTAAGGCTGTGATATATAGGCTATAATATGGTGATATAAACAATTTAATTAGGGTTGTCAAGTTTTAATTTTGGTACCAAAATCGAAACTTTTGACAACCCTAATCTGTTTATGTAACCATAATTATATTAGGGTTGTCAAAAATAGATTTTAGTAAAATCAATAATTTTGATTTTAACTTTTTCGCTCATTCCAGGTCGAACCCAGAGCTGTGTCTGTCTGAAGATGAAGACTCGGACACTGAAGGCATCACAGCGTCTCAGGCTGTCGTGCGAGAGAAGGACAAACTCCTCGCAGTCCGTCAGTTCATCCTGTCCGATCCAGAGCTGTACAGCCGAGTGTTGCAGTACCAGCCTCTTCCACTGGCGGAGCTGCGGGCCAGCTTGAGAGCTGCAGGTATCAGGTTAGCTGCTGCTAAACTATTAGACTTCCTGGACTCTCAATGCATTACGTTCAGCACGGCCAAACAAGGCAAGAGCACAACTACCCGTAGAAAACGACGTGTAAAAACCACAACTGCTGGAAGAGGGAGGAAAAAAACGACTAGGCCCAATGGGGGAGTCGCGTAAGGGCTGAAATCAAATAATGTAATAAAAAAAGGAAGATAAATCAGAGGTTGTAAAACAGGGATGTCCAAACTCGGCCCTGGAGGGCCGGTGTCCTGCACAGTTTAGCTCCAACTTGCTTCAACACACTTGCCAGGAAGTTTCTAGTATGTCTAGTAAGAGCTTGATAAGCTGCTTCAGGTGTGTTTGATTAGGGTTGGAGCTAAACTCTCTAGGACACTGGCCCTCCAGGGCCGAGTTTGGAGACCCCTGTTGTAAAAAAAGCTCAAACTCAGGATCATAAAGCTTCCCATAAAAGAGTTTATATAAGAACTCATTGGGGTTTTTTATTTATGGGGCCCGCTTCGATGTTTATTTTGTACAGTGGTTGACGGAAATAAATTACTTTTTAATGAATTTAAATGAATGTTTGGATAATGTAAATAAAAGACATGTCTGTCACGTTTTTATATAATAGTTGGTACTATTGTTTTTTTTTTTTTGTGTTCTTAATTTCATACCGTGATTTAAAGTAAAGTCTCTTTGAGGCAGAACAGGGGCCTCATGTATCAACGCTGCATACGCACAAAAACTTTGCATACGCCAGGTTTCACGCTCACGTTTGGATTTACTAACGATGAAACTAATGTGAGAATGTTCGTTGGTCTGCGCCAACTTCATGTCTAGCGTACATGTATTTCTTGTCTACGTTTGTTTTATTTCCATTGGCGACTCCTAGAGGCAGTTATTTTAAATTGCACACTGCAAAGTATCGCACCAACACATGTGAAACACATTGCTTTAAATTTATAACGGTCCCACTTTATATTAAGTGGCCTTAACTAATATGTACTTACACAGGAATTAATAGTTAGTTACAACGTACTTATTATGTAAATACATGCATTTACTGTGTACTTATGCTTGATTAAATACATGTATGTAATTACATCTGTAATTAACTTTTGTAATTACATTTGTAAATACACTGTTGACCATCCCTTACACCTTTACCCACCCTTAAACCTACCCATACCACCAAACCTGTCCATAACCCAACCTCTATCCCAACTCAAAAGCACCACAAGTGTTCACAAATACATTATAAACACAGTAAGTACATTGTATTTATTTTATTGATGTGGGTACATAGTAGTTAAGAACACTTAATATAAATTGGGACCTTTATAAATGATAAAATGGGTTAATTGACACATATATGTTCTAAATCACATAATTGGTAATATATATAAGCATTTGCAAATGTATACAACCCTTAGTCTATGGCACTGTTAGAATGTTAGTCCAGCATTCTCTGTTCCCCCCTGTTTAGTCCACACTTTGACGGTGCGCCGCTGTTCTCCCCTTAAACTGCACCTTTACATCAGACCATTTCTTTTTTTAATTGGTTCACAGTGCGATGTTCAGACCCCACTGCGTTAACCGCGTCAGCTAAACTCTTCCACTGTATTTTTTTTTCTTCTATTATTAATTTCAGGGGACAAACTTGCAAATAACACAGTTTTTCTCCAGTCTACCTCCGAAAGGAGCACCTACACAGTTACAGCTTTGTCTGTACGCAATGTTTTAGTATGAATTCAAGCAAGTCTTCGTACATGAGGCCCCTGGGCATTTTATTACCCTCAGGCCACATGCGGCCCACTGTACGTCTTTGTTCAGTCTGCATGAAGTATATATTTAACTATATATTTATATTCAGCTGCAAACAAGGCCTTACCAGGGCACAGGTCTAATTTTGTGAGTCAACAAAAGCCGACAGCATCTTTAATTTCATTATTTCAAATGGAGACGCATGGGCATAGCGCACAAAAGAGAAGGGATACACATCACGCTCAGGTTTTCCAGGCGCGTTGAATTGAAAAAAAATCTAAACATTTCAGAGTGCTTCACACTTTGTATGTAATAAAGGTAGACTATTTACCTCAAATGAATGATTTAACAAATCCGGATGCAGATCCTCTCTCAGTGATGATCATTACATCACATTTCAACCTCACATTCAACCTGACCTCAGTGTATTTGTTCAGCCCAACCCAGGCTAGAATTTTCTCACTTTTCTCCATTCAAACACATATGTGACACATCTTGTGTATTCTATAGTCTTTGTTTAAAGTCAGTGTTTGTATGTTTATGTATTTCCAAGAGAATCTAAATATAAGTAAGGGCTGGGGTGGGGCTTTCTTTTTGCGCTTGATTCCCTTTTAGCAAACTAACGGTAAAAGGGGTGTGGTTAATAATATTGTGATTAAAGCCATCAAACGGATGCCAACAGAAGGACAGTCACTCCAAACACTGAAGCAAATGGTAAGTTTTTGATTGAAGATTACCAAAACTGGTTGCTCGGAGGCTCACTGTCACCTTACAGCAAGGAGGTCTCTGGTTCAAGTCCCAGCTGGGCCAGTTGGCATGTTGTCGCCGTGTTGGCGTGGGTTTCCTTGGGGTTCTCCGGTTTCCCCCACAGACCAAAGGCATGTGCTATAAGTGAACTGGGTAAACTAAAGTGGCCATAGTTTATAAGGGTGTACTCACACTCGGTACAGTTTCCTTGAACTGCGCTGAAGCTCGATCGTTTCTCCTCGGCCTGCACTCACACTGCTTTTTGCCTTCCGAACCAGAGCACACATCATCGATAATGCAACTGTTCAGGTTTACAGGAAAAGAAGCGCTCTTGCTCAGCACAGTAGATATTAATTTAGTTATGGTTTTAGTCATTTGGGAAGCAGTGAAACGCACTCAAATATTTTTTTTCTGAACAGATCAAGTTCTATTATAAAGCCCTTGTGCTGCAAATATTAAAAGGTTTGCTGACGTGCAGTGAAGGGTTTTGCATCTTTAATAAACTACGACTACGAAAGTAATGATTAATAAATCCATATGAAACAGTCCCTTAAAGGTCACGATGCGTCTTCAGTTAAAGAGCGACCTCTGATAAATAAAAGACTAAGCTGAAGAAAAATGAATGTGGATGTGGGTTGAGTGGATTAACAATCACAGATTAATTGTTCACTTAAAGATAAACAATGTGAGGTATCAAAATAAACACTAAATTTGATTTCACATGGATTAGAACAGATTGTATTAACCAAAATTGACTAATAAAAAAAAAGATTTTTGCAGAAAATACAGCAAGGAAAAAATAAATAAGAATAAAACAAAAATATAAGGCTTTTTTTTTTTTTTAAATACTTACATTTTCATGACTAACAAGCACTCTGGTGTTGCAAACTCAAAAACATTTAATTATATCCAAAACAAATGTATAAATCTACTTCATTTTATATTTCAAAATCCCAATATGATGCCTTTTAAATATTATTTGATGAACCATACATTTCTTTAAAGCCATGAATGTGACCAGTAGGAAGTGAAAGACAAATATCACAGAGCGAACACGTCTTGAAAAAACTTTTACTGCACTTTTTTTGTTAGTTTTATAACATCACTTTTTTTTTGTTTTTTTTGCAAAGATCTGTCACGAAAAACAGACATCTCACATCCTAACAAAGAGAGAAGCAGAAGACAAAAAAAATCTCTGCTCCTCCTGGGTGTGCATGAGAGAGAGAGTCTGAGTCCGGCTGGGCAAACAGTTTCTCAGGATAGCTGAATTCATCTAGCCAGCAGATCTCTCACATGATCATCCGCCTTGATTAAGAGAGTCAGGCTGCACTGCCTCAGTCAGGACCAGCTCTTCATGCCCCATCATGCACCTGTCATGACAGGTTGGCAATGTTAGCCAGGAAACGCTGCGCCCACCACTCCTCGAGATCAATCGGCACAAAATCTAAGGGAAATACAAGAGAGATTGGCTGAGTTTATTCGAAATCGCACCAAAATTGAAGATGTTTACTCTATCAGTTAAAAGGCGGGTCAGTAAGATTGTTAAATGTTTTAAAATAAGCTTATTGGGCTCACCAAGGCTGCATTTATCTCAGCAAAAATACAATTCAAATTGTGAAATGTTATTTACTATAAAAAAAAACTGTTCAAAAGTAGATTATCATTTAGATTAATCATTAACTTCAGTGATTTTAAAGATGAATTTTCAGCTTCATTAGTCTTTAGTCACATGATCCTTCACAAATCACGCTAATAATAATTATTATTATTAATAATAATAATAATTATTATTATTATTAATTATAATCTCAATTTTTTGACCGGTAGTGTATGTAGGATGTCTGTTAAATAGTTTTGAAATTTAGCATAATGCCACCAAAATACTAGGAGTTTCATCTGTTTCTAGTGTGGGAGCAACAGGCCCGGCGCCAGGATATCAGAACTGAGGGGGCATTTTAAATCCATAGGGGGGCAGTAGACCTGGTGGCTAATTTTGGTCTCTCTTGTTCCTTTCATTTAGGCTATTTATTCACATTTATTATTACTTTACTTTGTTACTGACCTATGGCAGTAATATACGTTTTAATAGTAATAATTACAGTTTCGCTATTACTGATTTTATTAATGATGGTAATACCGCTTATAAATGCAGACGGATCATGGCTTAGTGCCAAACGAGTGCTTTAAATCATGTTATTCTCCTTATTTATTTCCGTTTTATTTCAAATAACAGGCATATGAATGTTTAAAATTTTAGGTAAATAGCCTACGTCAAATTATGCCCACACATGCAAGCTGACCCACGATCAGACTATTCGCGTAACCGGTAAATAAATATAGTGTAATCAGCCGAGTCATCACGCTTCACGTAGCCTATTACCCTACCAACATCAGTGTTAGGAAAAAGCTAAATGTAACAATCTAATGTCATTCAAAACAATTACTTAGTTACATTTTAAGGCATTAGTGTAGCCAGAAAAATACCTAAAAAAAGATACCAAAATTCACAGTTATTACCGTGAAAATTAGTTGGCACGTTTAACACGCAACTCAGGCTATATAAGTTTTTTCATCATTTTAAATGTAAAAATAAAGATTTATCTTGGGTTTTTATATGAGTTTAAATTTCGCGATATTGTCTGGTTGTCATTTGTAAACCATCATAAACCATTAGGTTACTAGGCGTACTCGTCATTTTATTTATTTATTAAGCCTATTTTAATAACTTGTTTTCAGGTTATTTTCATTTTAGGGCCATGAGCTACAAGTCAAAACAAACTCGATATGCTGACTGTATTTTAGCTCTTAAAATAGGTTTACAATATATTTTATGTTGTTTAATTTTGCATGAGCAAACAGCAGTATAGCCTAAATTAAATATTTTTAAAAGATTATTATTCAGCCTACCTGCAGGGCACGTGAGAGTTTTTTCGGTTGATCTGCGGTAATTCCACTAATGCACTATATTCCATTCATAACACTGCAAACTTGACTTCGCCGGCCGATCGTCTTTAAACGCAAAAGGCATTTATTAAGTGTTATACCTTGACTGCAGCCGCATAATGGGATGTTTCTCTACACAACTGTAAAAGTGCGCTTTATAGCAATGTCAAAATG